CTTTGTAGCCTCTGCTGGACTCTCTCCAGAAGATCCCTGTATCTCTTGAACTAGGGGGTCCAGAACTGGACACAATATTCCAGATGCAGCCTCACCAGGGCAGAGTAAAGGGGATGACCTCCCGCGACCTGCTGGTCACACTCTTCTTAATGCACCCCAGGATACCATTGACCTTCTTGGCCACAAGGGCACATTATTGGCTCATGGTCAACTAGCCATCCACCAGTACTCCTGGGTCCTTCTCTGCAGGGCTGCTTTCCAGCAGGTCAACCCCTAACCTGTACTGGTGCCTGGAGTTATTCCTCCCCAGGTGCAGGACCCTACACTTACCCTTACTGAACTTCATCAGTTTCCTCTGTGCCCAACTCTCCAGCCTGTCCAGATCTCACTGAATGGCAGCACGGCCTTCTGGTGTATCAACCATCCCTCCCAGTTTAGTGTCATCAGCAAACTTGCTGAGGGTACACTTAGTCCCTTCATCCAAGTCACTGCTGAATTTATTGAATAGGACTAGACTGAGTACTGACCCTTGGGGAACACCACTATCCACAGGCTTCCAACTAGACTCTGCACCGCTGATTAAAACCCTCTGAGCTCTGCCATCAAGCCAGTTCTTCACCCACCCCACTGTCCCCTCATCTAACCCACACTTCCTAAGCTTGCCTATGAGGATGCTGTGGGATTCAGTGTCAAAAGCCTCGCTGAAGTGAAGGTAGACAACATCCACTGCTCTCCCCTCATCCACCCAGCCAGTCTTGCCATCATAGAAGGCTATCAGATTGGTCAAGCATGATTTCCCCTTAGTGAATATATATTTCAAATTTTCTTCCTCATCAGTGAATATGAAGAATATATCAGTGTCCTGGTACTCAGAGCTGCCAAGCAGGCCTGTTCAGGTGCTTCTGAAAATTAATGCTGCTGTGTTCTATGTCAATAATTAAGTCCATGCCAGTTCTCTCTAACTTTTCAAGGAGAAAGCTGCCTCTTGGGATTAATGCAGTTATCCATGACCTGTCTTGCAGGGACTCTGAGCAGTCAAACAAACCAACTTCAGTTGCTTCAAACTGCTAGACCATGACTAGAAGATCTAGACAGCTGTCCTAAAAGCAGTATTTCAGCAGTGTTCCTCTTTGTGTCACAATCTAACAACAAATGTCAGGCTTTATGTTCCAGATACCTGGGTTTGTCTCTGAGAAGTTATTAATTTTTCTGGTTGGTGATCCTTTTTGTCATTTCTTCTCTTCTTAAAAGCATGTTTTCCAAGTGAAAGACAGAGCTCAGGCAACACTGTTGGTCTTAGAAAGAGACTAACTCTTGCTGTGCTGCCTACAAAGAATCTCATATTGAGCATCAAACTGTATGAAACAGTGTTATGGGGCTGTAAAAGTAACCTATATTTCTTTTACCCCCCCCAAAAAAGTGACCTCTCTTTGGGATGTTCCCAAAACCCTACATTTTAAAAGCAGCTAGCTAGGGTCCCATTTACTCTTTCACTAAGCCTCACAGACTCACTGAAGTATCTGGAAGCAGTACTAGGTCCAGAAGAGTTGCCTGTAAGAGGATCTTCTGTCAGATATGTTTTCATGGGTCCTGCACGTGGACAAACAATGAAAGGAGGAAAAATGGCTTCTTCTTTGCAGTTTTTCCTGTAAATATATTAGACAATACATCTCTAATACTTCCTCCTTCTCTTCTTCCCTCTGTAGTCTGATTGAATATATAGCTTCTTAGGATGAGAGGAGCTGGAATGACTGGTTGTTCCACCCTTGATTTTTACCATATGTGCTGCACAGGGAGCAAGTAGGAAGGGATGTCTTTAAACATAATGCCAAAGTGGAAAAAAAAAAAAAAAGGACAAAAAAAAAAAGACTAACAATGTTAACAATGTTGACATAATAGTTTCTACAGTGTTAATGTGTTAATGCAGGTGAATACAACAAATTTCGAAGAACTATCTCAGTCCTGCAGATCCCACTTCCATTGAAGCCAAAGGAATTCTGGCATTAGTTTCA